CCTTCATGATGGCGGAGAAAGGGTTCGATATAGAGCAGGTTTGATGATACAATGCTCTATCCCACTACCCGACCTAGACCCAGACATGGCTTCATTATATAGTCGCGCTCTGCCAGCGTTTGATGTGACTTTGAGACGTTACAAGTATAATGAAGGGTTGGCAATGGGGTTGAATGAAACAGGAACTCGGAAGGTGGGGTGGGAGGCTCGGAAGGCTGGGGGTAGTCCGGGATTCGTGGGTTTAGTAGTTCCGGGTGTAACAACTCCGTTTACATGTACGATGCCTGGAAAGTACCCGCCTGAAAAACGACGTTCGTGGGTCTCCCCTGCCTCTCGTCTGGCTTAAAACGGTCTCACCACACGCGGAGCTGATATAAGAGGCTCCGATACTCTCAAGTTGACAATGATCTGCGGTTTTCCCAACTTCCACCACTCTCTTTTTAAACCACGGAATATCAAGACCAATCATCCAATAATCCAATACGATATATGACCTCATAAGAACAGTTTTAATTACAATATGAGGTATTTTACCAGAGGATAGTTACTAAGTCGTGTATGGGAGTAGATTCAGCGGTCAAATAAGTAAGTTATAAAAGGAACCGCAGTAAAAAGAATGTTTTGATGAAATAATTCGTCTAGCCTTTATAAGAGACATGTTTTCGTAGATTCTATTGGGTTAAGGGATTGATGGTTTTGGATTTCTACATCACTGCAAGCCGTGGGATCGCTCATTCGTTCGATGACGGGTGCCCGGGACTGGCCAAGTGACATCTCAGCACACCAATCAGCTTCAATGCAGTATGCCTCCAGGTGCAATATGTCTTTTCTCAAGCCCTGTCCAGCAAGCCAGGGGCAGTGTAGATGAATGCAAGATTTTCATCTAGCTAGATGTGCAAAATATCGTAAAACCAAGGGCCGGCACAATGAGACGCGGAATACGAGAGGTACAACATGCCCCTCGTCGCAGTCAAAGTTCTAATTTCTACCAATAACACTTCTTTTAAAACATCTAGAGTTTAAAGCATCATGACGATCAGTGCTTTATCAAGGGGCAAGATCGATGAGGCTCTGCGTAGATTTGTCAGAAGCCAAGAAGTTTAACACTCTGTTTCCCCACTTGGGGTCATGCAAATAAGAATGCAAGTCATGTGGAGATGTGTTCAATCTTCTTAGAATGACACAAGCACCGAATCCAGACGCTTTCATGGCCATCATTGAGAATATCTGGGATTCATATATCATTCGAGAAAACATGAGATGGCACTCCAAACGTTTCGGCACTCCTATCAGCAACAAATGGAATTATCACAGACAAGAGTGTTTGCAAATCCGCTTTTAATGTCCAGACAAAGCTTTGTACTACTGGAGAGACGACACAGTCCCGATCTCAAGCGACCTCTTATTTTTTACACCAAGCAGGACACAAGGGGAAATTTACAATCGCCGAGCTGAGGAGTGCGATATCTGTCTCCAGATCTCGAATGACATTGTTGAATTCATACACTGTAGGAAGTGTGAATCAGACAAACCATACAAGTAGTCTTCAAACCGAATTTGACTACCAGAATTACTACCCAAGTGGATGACACTCAAATGTTGTCGCGAGTCGACTGAGTGGGGAAGTGTCCGTATTATACGATTATTCGTATTGTGAGTAAAGGGTCTTGACTTATCTCATTTTAACCTACCTGAGCAGGATGGTGAGAGAGACACTGTCCACATGTGAAGCAGAGTCTGGGTCGAATCTAAGACGAGGAGAAACGAAGCGTGTATGGGCAATGGGCCTGGTAGGAACTGGAAATGGCTGTACAGCTTCAGGGTGATGCCTTGACTTGCAACCGGAAGGTTTATAATTGCCCTTCATTGCAACCACAGCACTAGCGCCGACAACCTTGTAGAAACATCTTTCTTCATTTAATACAAGCCTGGTGTCAAAATGCAGTATCATAGCCTCATCTCACGTTAGATTTTTATGAATATTTATTTAGAGTGTAGTTGTTTGCCACTTAAATAACAAAGATTGTAGTCAAATAAATTCAAGTCCGACGGAGCGGCGATTTGCGTATCGGCCGGCCCCTGTTGGAAATCACGATGTCAGGATCGAGATGGAGTGGGATAGCGACTAAAAAGCCATGCAACCTTTGAATCGCCAAACGAGGGACTCCACTACAAACAAGGCTCAGTACTATTAATAACCAGTGTCCGGGATCGGGATGAAGTATCGTTCCCGACGGAGTAATTATATGATGGAAAAAGTCCGATACACCAATCCCATCAGAGCGGCGGGCTCTAAGCGATTGACCTTCATGCAGAGTGTAACTCAAGGCCCATGACGGTGACATCTTTCTCACCATTTATGTCTGTCAATCAGCCCTATTGGAATAGCTTGGCTGGCAAGCGGATCATGGTAATCCTCAGATCCGGGACATTTGTACCCTTGTCAGTGGGCCTTGAACTCGGCACAGCAATGTGAGACGTAGTTTGATATGATCGTCCTTTTGTAGGGCTGCTATGAGCCACGAAGGCAAAGGTCAGGCTGAATTTCAGCATGGCTCAAACCGAAACTGGGAGGCCTATACCGTTGAGTTCAAGCGTCAGAGTAATTCGGGCATCATTTAAAGCAATACCTCCCTGTCGTCCTTTTACTTTTTCTCTTACTTTCATTCTTCATGGTCTATCCTCAGCAGATCTGTTTTCTTTATTTCACATCTTGAGTTGCCTTTTTCCTCTGTGAGGAGAATTCTTCAAGTTTTGTTATTTCCATCCATATTACATTCAATATGAGTTCGTTCGATCATAAACGGCCAGAAAAGTCGGGGATCATAGGGCCTGATGATACCGAGCAACGATCGATGAGCTGGTATTCGGTTCCCCGAGACGAGCTCTTCGAGGAATCGACTGCCTATGTCTCGGGAGCGCCGATTGAGCTTGCGCCAACAAACACGAGCTCAGCAGACGATGGGGAGGGAAATTTACCCCTCGGTCGAGCAATCAAACTTTACCCCAAGATGGTAGGGTACTGCATGGCCATGACAATCCCCATCATCGGCTGGGGTTACGACTTGGTTATTGTCGGCGCCATCACGGGCGTCGACTCCTTCACAGCAGACTATGGCGCAACGATTGATGGGATACAGTCAATTCCAGGGAACTGGCTGACTTTGTGGATGGCACTTCCCCCAGCAGGCTCGGCCCTCGGCGCTGTCGTGTGTGGTTGGATGCAGGATCGAATCAGCCGAAAGTTTAGTCTCATGATCGGCAGCATCATTTCCGCCCTTGCCATCTCCTGTATCTTCTTCTCCTCCTTGTTCGAGCCCTTGGACGTTAAGCGTGCCGTCATTACGGCTGGCTTGACAACCCAGGGCTTTACTGTCGGTATTATCAAAACTACCTGTCTCACCTGGGTGTCTGAGAACTCACCAACAGCACTGAGGGGTTCCGCAATGGCCTTGTTCCCAACATTCACACTTATTGGGCAGCTTATCGGAGCAATCGTCGTGTTCATTGTCAACAAAGTCGAGACTGCGACTGCCTACCGGGCTGCCTTCGCGTCTCAATGGATTCTGTGTCTGGGCCCCTTTATCCTGTCGTGTCTGATGCCCGACAGCCCGGCCTACCTTATCAGAGCAGGCAAAGAGTCTCAGGCAATTGCGTCGGCTACCAGGCTGTTTGCGCCAAAAATAAACCCCCGCATCGCTCTGGAGAAGATCCGACACACGATTGAGGAGGAAAAGGCATCAGTGACATCAGCCTCGTATTGGGCCTGCTTCAGGGGTACTGACTTGCGGCGCACCATGATCGTCATTCTTGCCAATATTTTCCCTGCCCTGTTTGGTTTGGACCTCCTGTCCAACTCGACCCCATTCCTGCAAAGCTTTGGGATGGAGTCAAGCACCAGTCTGCTGCTCCAGATAGTCGGTATTGTTGGAGGTATGATTGGCAATGCAATTGGTCTATGGATTCTTTCGCGCTCGGGACGGCGCAACATGACCATTATATCCATGGGTGTTACCGGACTCCTCTGGGGGGCCATGGGTGTCACGGGCTTCTGGTCAAGCCCTACGCTCACATATGTCGCTGGAGGAATCATGATTGCTGTCATCATAACCTGCGGCTTGGGATGTTGGCCCGCAGGATATGCCATCACAGGAGAGACAAGCTCTCTGCAACTCCGAGCTCTGACCCAAGGCATTGGTGGCGTGGCAGCCCAGGGTTCCTCCATTACGATTGCCGCTGTCCTCCCTCAGCTTTTCGGTCGAGACAAGGCAGCGCTTGGCGCAAAGACTGGTTTCCTGTTTTGTGGACTTTGTGCAGTCGGCCTGCTTCTGACCTGGTTGTGGATTCCCGAGATGAAGGGCCGCAGTATGCAGGAGATTGACTACATGTTTGCAATGAAGCTGCCTACAAGGAAGTTTAAGCATTGGAGATCGGATACTCATGAGATGCAGGAGGTGTTACCGCTACGTGACAATTAAGTCGGAAAAAAGTGTTTCTTGGGCTGCACGAAACCCCAGAAGCAAAATGTTCGAGTAACTTGGCATAGCGACCAAAGTCTTTATCCTGTATCCAGTATCTCCATACCGTTGTGATAACATCTGTTCTCTCTGTTTTACACTTATAACCACATGCCTCGATCAATAATAAGATCTTCCTTACACAAGAGAGATACACGTATTTTGCCCGGAATCTTTGCAGGGGAATCCTGGCCCGATTACGCACAAAACTCAATTCTCAATTATTCCAGCGCATAATGCGCGTCAATTTCAGCCTTGACGGGTCGTTCTGATGGATTTCGGCTTGGCATTTATATCCATAGGATCAGCCTCAGCACCAGCCATTTATCAGTCTCACAGCACAGCCACAATAGATAATTCAGCACATCTCCGTTGTTTCACCTGATGCCTAATAGCTATCAAAACTTCCACCCCGCACCAGCAGTTGCTAGAACTCGCTCCTCCAAAACGACCGCACGTGAAACCGCAGTCCCTATTCAGAAGATGAGTCTGCTTCCTATCCTCAGCCCGTATATGGACGACATGGGTCTTGAACCACGCGAGCTGCCCTGGGAGGCTCTTGTGGCCAACCTTGAATGGCGCGCAGAGAATCAATGCACATTCCAAAGCACAAACTATCACTTCCAATTCAAGCCGGATCAGAATGATTCCATTCGGAACTTTATCAACACCATGGCAAGCATGATCAGAGAATCCGCAGTCCGAAAGCGACTCCTGTATCCTGATCATTATGATGTTCCTGCTGCAGATGACATCATGATTGACCTGACTCTCGCGAGGAAGATTGCGCCTCTCATCCACAAGCTGCGTGAAGACAGCTTCCACTGGAAGCAGGAAGGTCTGCCTGACTCGGCCTCCTGCCAGCATCGACGTGATGATTGCCTGGGCATGCTGCCGATGGAAGAGCGAAAAATGTCCGCCTTTTTGCGGGTGTTCGATAATCGCCAGACCAACGACACCTCCTGTCCCTTCGGTAGGGCGGCGAACAAGAAGGTGCTATTTAATCTCGAGGTTTTTAAAGCCCTTATCATTTGCGGGGAGATGGACATATTGCTCCGTATCTGCTCGCATCCAGACGTTCATTTCTCAACTTGGCTGGATGGACGAGTTTCTTGCGATTGCGACGACGACGACAATTGTCAAATTTCCGATGAAAATGAATGGGCTTCCATCGCAGATCACGCCCTGTGGTCCTTTATTGCACTGAACTCGATGTCGTGGCTCAAGCGAGACTCGACTTCAGAAGTCACGGAACAGGGAGACTACCGCGACACGGAAGCCTACCAGGAAATGGTATTCGAGCGGACCAGATGGCGTTGCTTGCCCCTAGTTCAGTATCAACACAGGTTCTTCTTTGGCATCACAGACCGGCAATTTCACGAGTGGGAAGGTTTTCGTGACGAAAGGAAATGGAAACGGGTTCTGGACCTTTACGGGATCGATTACTTGTCCTACAGACCTCTCCTGGGCTATGGATCATATGATGATTTCCTCGATTGCCAAGGCAGAAAACTACCCGACCATGTCCACCACACTGCCGCGGAAATTTCGCACGTTCGCTCAGTCCTTGTCGCGCACACACAACTTCCTAATGAGCTGATCGACAGGATCCTCGAGGAAGGAGAATACGATACTCCGAGACGGCTGCTACAGACCCCCCATGACCCCCTCCATCCGGCCAATGGCGAAGAGCTATACCAATACCTCGAGGAATGTTGGGCTCTTCTCGTCAGGTCCGAGATTCTCATCAGAGCCCTCAACACCAGGAGAAGCGCGACGACGAGGGCTGAGGGCGTTTCTAGTGATCATCTCGGTGAGGATGCAGGCCCCGAGATTGAAATGGATGAAGTGAACATCGAGTGGGAAACAGAAATCGGCCAAGTGATACAAAAGCTTTTTGGGTGTGCTTGCTGTCTTGAGAAGCTCAAGAACGGTGAGGATATAGGTTTCGTGAATACCAAGGTGAATAGAAACGCAAATGTGTGCGCCCGGTTTCGTGCGTGTGGAAGATGGCCATATAATAAGTAAGTAGGTGGTGGCTAGAAAGTATTTTACGCACATTGTTAATTGGCTGGTGAGAACACTTGCGTTCCCAATTCTCACACATGGACCGCACTGGCGAGGTGATTGTGATCTAATGCATAGAGCTTATACTCTCTGTGAGAGTGTAGATGCAATTAACAAATGGTTGAAATGAACAATTGGCAATACCCAAAACTCCATTCTATGTGCCCAATATGTGTGCCGTAAAAGTCCACTTGGTTCACATGAAATCAATAGCAACTCCCTCAAACTCCATATCGTAAGCCATTAAATACCCGTCATGTACAAGTAGATACTGTCAGTGGGCTATATACAAGCAATCAAACGACTGAAATATCAGGGGACGTCATGAATGAGTTCTTGTCATGACGGAATTAAGCGGGTTCAATATATGCAAGGAATTAAATTTGATCAAGATCGAAACGACTGAAAGCAAGATTTGCCTAGTTGGACGTGTAGTGAGCCACGTAGCCAACCTCCTGGCGAGAGCCATAGCCATCCAGGGTGGCGCCGTTGGGGTAGCCAGGCTATTATCAACATGTTAGCAAATATCTTGACCGATAGTGTACAAGGAGGTTGTCATGTTTGACTTACCCAGTCACCGCCGACAGCGACGTTGAAGATGATGTAAAGGGAGCTCTGAGCAAGTGACGACCAAACGCTGGTGCTGCCGATACGCGAGCCGCTCACCTGGTGGAACTGGTTTCCATCGAGATACCAGGTGATGGTCTGGCTCAGGTAGTTTGAATTGCGGCGGTCAATCTCCACACGCCATGTGTGCCAGCTCTGGTTAGGGATGCCCGTCGTGCCGGCAATACCAGCACCTTCATTGCAGATTCCTCCGGGGTAGACATCACAGTGGATAGTACCATAGCCGGTCAGGAGACCGTTAACCGTCTCCATGATATCAATCTCACCGCAAGCAGGCCAGCCCATACCGTTACGAATGCTGTTTCCGAGCATCCAAAACGCGGGCCAGATACCCTGCTTGTTGGCAATAGCGCTATCGCCAAACATGATCTGGGCCTCGATACGGGTGATCTTTCCGTTGGCGGGGGTGAAGGTGTACTTGCTCTCGATACGGCCTGACGTCCACCCCTTGGCCTTGGAGGAGTCCCTCCACGGCACGAGTTGCAGGGTCTGGCCACCACTGAGCTGGACGTTGGCGCTTGAGCTAGTGTATACCTGGAGCTCGTTGTTGACACCGAGGTCACCGGTTATGATGTTCCAGTTACCGGTGTTGGGAGACGCACCGCCCGAACCAGAGAAGGTATCTTGCCAGACTCGCGTGTAGCCGGAGTAGGTGGGGGACTCCCAGGCACCGGCGACGGCGGCAAGGGAGAGGAGGGAGGTAACGGTAAAGCGAACCATTTTTGCAGACTTGTCCCGTGTTCGAATAGAGTGTCCACACGAAGATGTATTATAAGTGTATGTATTTCCAAGGGAGTGTGTGTGACGGGAGACCGTCAGTATGTACAAGGAATGTCGGAGCCCTACAGGCAAAGGAAAGACTGATGAACAACGGGTTGGTTCAGACAAAGCCTCTATTAGTTACAAAGGGCATCAGAATCATTAAGTATTCATTTTACGGCCCCTTTTGCGATGGCCAGTCGAAACAGCGCCTGGACCCAAAGAAGAAGCTCAAGCCAACTCCATTGTTGAACCTCCCCGGAGGTGTGGAGCAGGGCAGGGCAGAAGAGAAAGGCAGGTTGACAGCAAGATGCGGCCATCTATTGGTCGCATAAACGCTTAGCATGACCATTATTGCGAGGCAAGCCGCCTTCGTCGTTCATGGAAGGGCGGAAGTCGGGAGAGGCGGTTGACCCCCGGCACTTATTACAACTCTACTAGGCCCGAGGAAGCAAGTTGAACTGGCCCTTGGGCAATCACCCGGTACTGACATGCAGGGACGTGTGCGGCGCGAGAGGCCAGCCTATGAGCATCCATGAGCTTATTACTGACCAGATGCCATACTTTGCGTAATATTCGCAATATGGGCCTTTGGACCTGATAAGAGAGTACCATCCTAAGGGGCAAATCCCACATTCACAATGCAAATGCGGTCTTTGTTCTTCCAGCTCTGCTCTACGCATCGCTTGTCTGGCCAGGAGTCTCGCGCCAAGGTCTCGCGCCCCTGAGACACTACCTGAATCTTGTTATGGCCATTAATGCCACAGCGCCACGCAAGCCAGGGCCGACTCATCAGATAAGTTGCGCTATATTGGGCGTATGGCAAGGCAGGAGCTCTGAAACGTGTGCGCGCAGGGTGAAGAAAGCTTAGCCAAGCCGCAAGGGGATTGGGGGCCAGGGACCGCCATAAGAGGGCAAGGGTTTTAAGAGGAATCGGTCCCTTAAATCCTGAATGTTTACGGTTTAGGAAGGAAAGCAGATGTGAAAGCAGGGAAAAGAGATGACTTTGTTCATTCGGGGAGTTCAGACGGACGAGCTAGTGAGATGATAGGCTCGTGGCCCAGATGAGGATGCATTGATGGGGCAATGGCAAGACCCCCGATGCAACATTACCTTACTGCATCATGCATGTACAGAATGGGAAGATATGGGACTGTGTGTGTGGCGAATGGGCCCCATCAGTTGAGCAACAGTTGGGCACATGTTGCCATGTCATGTCATTCATTGCTGGATGGCTGAATTGACCATCCTGTTTGGTGAAACTTGAAACGCGCCGAATCACCGAATCATCCCTCTTGGGGAGGCAGCCAGCCAAATTTTGTCAGCATCAGCATAGGGCTTCAGCCTGTAAAATCCACCAGGAGCAGTCAGATCAATGCTACCTCCCTATTTGCCTTTACACACGTGCTTGGGCATGCCTCCACGTGATGTCTGTTCCGCTTACACATAATGTGATATTGTGAGCTGGGCCGATTCTTCTCCGTCGTATATTGATTTTTGTGTGCTGTTTCTTTCTTCTTTGGTTTTATCATTCCCACGCTTTGTCGTGAGGACTTTGTTTGCCCCGTTGGCCCACGCTTTTTTGTCTCAGATGGTACCCTGTCGACAAGGCGCGAGACGCCGAAGCTCCATGCTCGTGGGCTAGTACCGAAACGACAAATGATCAGAGCAATGATCAACCCGGTTTCGTGATCATCACCTTGACATTCTAGATTTGACTCGCCTTGATACAGCCCTGCCCAAATTCCATCGATCTGCTCTAGGGTCGCCGCACAGCCGGGAAACCAGAACCCAGAGTGGGAGCACGGTCCGCGAACAGAAACTGTTGCTTTCTTGCCAAAACAGAGCGTTTCAGGGCCAAATTTCCACATTTTGTTTTTTTTTGTACTTACCGTTGTTGCTAAGTTGAAGCAATCCGTGTAGATACAGCCGATGAGTTATGTTCTAGACCTACCGGCTTCCAATGCTTCCATTCATGTGTTTAGCCATTATTGATTTCAACAAAGAAAATAAAATATAACTAGCCTTTCTCAATCAGAGCATCCTAAATTAACTTTCAGGTCTATTCCCATTGTTCGTCGCGCCGATGGGCTCAGCTGCGTACATTCGGTGATATTCATATTAAAGCTATGTCAGTGTTATCGAAATGAGATAAACTACGGAAATCTCAGAACTTGACAACTACACTTGGCACAACTGGCAATGTTTTACTCACGAAGTACTTTGCTCACACACTGTTTTACACTGTCAGGTTTATCTACTACCTAGTACACGGGTGCTTTTATTCTCTTTTATTCTAATTCCTTCTGCACCAGAAAAAAAGGGCATTCAAAGGACATGAAATTAGTCGCGAATTAGGATTATAGAATACCTTAGATTTGCAAATGGCTAAGAAGTCGCTTTAGATTACTTTGTTGTTGAACATTGCGAGCATGTTGGACTACTAGCTCTAGGGTAGGCAGAAAGGTGGTGATCGAAGCCCCGCTCAGATTGTCTCTCGGATGTGTGTTTCCATCTCCACCTTTCCCTTTCCCTCGCGTAGGCGATGCACCACGCGCTTGATTCGGATTCGACATGGAGTTAATGGCTACGTCCGCCGAGGATCGTCCCCTCCCGATGCTCCCGATAGGAACGATGTAGCATCACCTTCCTACGGGAACAGAGCTGTCCCCTCTCCCCCCTTCTCGACGCATCAACGCCTACGACGAATCGAACGGACGTCCGAGTAAACAAACATGCCCGCCTCAGCTGTCTTTGCGCCCAGCGCGACCGCCCTCATCACTGGAGCCGCTGCTGGCATCGGCCGCGCGATTGCCAAGCTCTGCCAATCCAAGGGGATGAACCTGTTCCTTGTCGATATCAATGCCGACGACCTCGAGGCGGCAAAGAAGGCGCTGTCCACCGAAACAAATACCGTCGTCACGGCCGTTGCGGATGTCTCTAGCACCTCGCAATGGGAGTCGCTCAAGGCCACTGCCGCTGACCGTTTCGGGTCAATCGAGCTGCTGGTCTTGAATGCGGGCAAGGGAATGAAGGGAGGATGGGGTGATGAGGACTACTTCCGCCAGGTAATACTCTAAGCATGTCTTTTCTGTCTTGGGATTGCTTCTTCTATTTTGTCGACAGCGGCTAACCATTATACCTCGCTTGGTGTATTACAGACACTGGAGACCAACCTCTTTGGCGTGATCCACGGCGTCAACACCTTCCTCCCCGTCATCAAGAAAGCCTCCGAGTCGAAGCCAACATCGATCGTTATCACCGGCAGCAAACAGGGCATCACGAATCCACCGGGAAACCCTGCCTACAATGCGTCCAAGGCGGCCGTCAAGTCGCTGGCTGAGCAACTGAGCTATGATCTACGGGAGTCGAGCACCAGTGTCCACCTGCTGGTGCCTGGTTGGACATTCACCAACTTGGTAAGCTATTTCCTCTACATCTCCTTGCACTATTAAGAGCTGGAGGGGCTAATATGCGAATGTGACATTACTAGGCCGGCGCTCTTCATTTCAAGGAGAAGCCCGCTGGAGCTTGGCTTCCAGAGCAAGTCGCCGACTACCTGTACCGCAAGATGGAGCAAGACAAGTTCTACGTCATCTGCCCCGACGACGACGTGACCGAAGAAACAGATAAGAAGCGCATGTTATGGTCGACTGGCGATATCGTTTACGAGCGGCCTCCTTTGTCGAGATGGCGAGAAGATTGGAAGGAGGAGGCGGCGGATACGATGGCGAAGACGCAGATTTAGAGAGCCGCTTGTTGGGCGATATTTCGTCCGAGCACCCTCATGGCGGCCACCGGGGGATGGCGACGGCGCCATGAATGGATGAGTGAATGAATGAATCAATGAATGAAAATCAAAATTCCTTGACTGGTCATGTGCCACAGTGCTTCTTGTCTTTCCCTTCCTCACCCCACTAGACCATCAGTCGGTCAAGGAGCCGCAGACCGGAGCACCTTGTGCCCCTCTTTGGCGTCGGGGGGATCGTGGACCGCCGAGATTCATCGTCCCCTAGCCTTCAAAGTGGGTTTGATGGTCAGCAAACTCTCCCTCTATCTTGAAAATTTTTCCAGAACCACCCTCAAGCATGAGGCTCCAACGAATGACTTGACAAACAGAGATCCAGGGGTTGCATTTTGGTGGGCAGAGCGGATCCGAGTCCCCTCTTTCGACCCATGGCGCAATAACGATGCCGCTCGCCGTGCCCAATGACTGCCAGATCCGGCAGGTTTAACCTCACGATAATGCTCACGCTAGGAGGAGGACGACCGCCGCCACTAACAGATCTGTACGGCATCTGCTACTACGAGGAGATAACCATATCTCGCCCGACAGGATCCACGCGGGAGTGGGCTTCTCGTCCCGAGGGCATAAAGAAAAAAGTAGGACTCGGTGTCAATCAGCGCCCACAAATCTGCCACGATGGCAGCTGGATTGGATGAGAGAGCTGTCGAGGGTGTTTGGGGGCGACAACGTCCGTGTTCGTGTGTTCCGCCGGCGCTGCTGCCTTATTACTCGACGTCCATTCTTCCCCTTCGCCAGCCCGGGTGGCAAGCTGTGTTCATTGATTGATTGTCCGAGTGAAGCCAGCCTGTACGTGTGTGTTGTTTTATCCATTCTTATTCACTGCGCTGCTGCTTCGACGGTTGGCTGCCCACTCGCAAGGCAAGCTCACACAGAACTAGGCATTATTCAGTGCCCAAGCAACGCTAAAGATGACAATCACAATGGCTGAAGATGCCTCCAAGGTAGAGGTCGTTTCTCACGTTCGTGCCCTACCAGAAACGCCAGATGACCAGTCCATAAGCGACGAAAGGAGCGGCTGGAGAGTGCCCTACTATGTTCGAGTCAGCTTCGCAGTTTCCTGTGTCGCGATGCTTTTTGGGTAAGTCTCGACTATTTTCTTTGGGATAGAACCCAAATGATGGAGATCCAGCTTATTGACAGAAATCTTACGCAGCATGGACACAGGCAGTATTGGCCCAGTCACGGCTATGCCTGCCTTCAAGGCCACCTTTGGATCTTTCTCTCCCACAATGCACGGTGTTATTGTCTCCTCCGTCCTCATCCCAGGAGCTCTTACTGCCTTGATAGCTGGAGCTCTCGCCCACCGCTTCGGACACATTAAGCTTGTTGCTCTTGGATCATTCATCTACAGCATCGGTGCCGCTGTCGAGTGTGGTGCTCCCATTCTCGGGGTCTTCATTCTCGGTCGCCTCATCAAGGGTGTCGGAGAGGGCCTCTTCCTCAGCAATGTATACGTCCAAGTCTCCGAGATGTCTCCATCACGCGTCCGCGGCGTCATGACAGCCCTGCCTCAGTTCCTTATCACCACCGGTGTCGTATGCGGCTACTTCATTTGCTATGGTACAATCCGCCTGGGCACTTCTTCTGCCGCCTGGCGTGTCCCACTTGCGGTCATCTCTGGCCTCGGATTGATTTTCTCCAATGTGTTTTTCATCTGCCCGCCGTCGCCCCGTTGGCTATCCGCGAAAGGACGGTTTAATGAGGCCCGTGTTGTCGGTGAGAAACTTGGGTTAGAGCCAAAAGAACTGGAGCAGATTCTATCGCAGTCTCCGTTGTTCGATGGCGAGTCGGCCAATGAGTCTGTCTGGCAAACCCTCCAGCAGACTTGGGTCGAGTTTGGCTACGCCTTCTCTAAACCGTATCGCGGCCGAACCGCCTTTGGTTGCTTCATAATGGGGATGCAGCAATTCAGTGGCATCGACGGTGTTTTGTATTATGCGCCCACACTTTTCACCCAAGCTGGACTGGATGGTGATCAGGCTACATTCTTGGCATCGGGGGTATCTGCTATTGTGATCTTGGCCACGACGATTCCTGCTACCCTTTTCGCCGACGTCTGGGGCCGCCGCTTCGCAAGTCTCCTGGGCGGTGCTCTCATTACCCTGCTTATGCTCCTCATGGGGTCTCTGTACGCTGGTGGCCAGGTCGGGGCTGGGCCTGGGAAATGGGTAGTGATTGTTTCCATCTACCTTTTCGCTATCGTCTTCAGCGCGACCTGGGCCATCTGCTTTAGGACTTTTCTCGTGGAGAGCATGCCACGTAAGACGAGAAGCAGTGCCTCAAGCCTGGCGCAGAGCAGCAACTGGGTATGTATCCCCCCAGTTCCGGTATCCCATCAAGTCAGGCCGTAGCCAGCTAACCATTTGCAGATGGCGAATTACATCGTTGCTCTCGTGACACCCATCCTTCTTGCGAAGTCCTCCTTCGGGGCGTATTATCTCTTTGCGTTTTCCTCGCTTCTCACCACCGCCGTGGTTGCTGCCTTCATGCCCGAAACAAGGGGATACAGCCTCGAAACGATCGAGGAACGATACGATGAGCGACAATCGCGAGGCACTGGAGCGCATATTTTCTCATGGTCGGCACTTAAGCAGCGCATCCAAGTCCAAGAATAACAGGCTGAACGCCCTGCCACACTTGCAACACACAATATCCAACACTAACGATTCAAAAGCTTTGCAGCGTCACGAGATAGAATGGGATTCATGACTGGGACGAATTAACATCTAATATTCACGTCAGAAGATAATATGCATATATACAAATAATTGTCCAACAGCTTTCAAAGCTAATACTCTCTGTGAGAACCAACCATGCTTTTATGCGTGCTAATCTTTAAAAAAACAAAAAGTCTCAGACCCGGCTACATAGTTTTTTCTTTCTTTCTTTGTGTATTGTTGGCAGCGCTCTTGGTCCCTGCCGCAGAACCCTTCTTGCAATACGACCTGTTTTACCGGAGTCCAAGCAGAACGAAAACGGCGCGTTTTAGTGATACAGAGCTCGACGCCAAGAGTCCACCGAACAGCAATCTATCCTTGGAGAAAGCCAACACGCGTTTAGTGGTGGAGGTGCTGGTGAAGGTGCCTCTTGGCCTTGTTGCTTCGCTTGCACTTGCCGGCCTCCTTGGAGGTGGTGGGGAGGGCAGCCGAAGAGGAGGAGGAAACACCGGCAGCACTGGTAGGGGCGCTCTCAGCGGATGTGTTGCCGGATCCCTGGGTCGAGCTGGTCTGCTGGGACTGGGTCTGCTGGCCGGCCGAGGAGGAGGGGACGGCGGCAGCAGAGGAGGCAGCAGAGCTGGCGGCGGCGGAGGAAGCAGAGCTAGCGGCAGCCGAGGAGGAGGCACCGGCAGCGGTGGAAGAGCTGCTGGCCGCGGCGGAGGACTTGGAAGAGGAGTCGGTGCCGGCGACGCTGGGGAGGGGGTAGCTGGCGTCGTCGTTGCGCTTGCAGCCGGAGATGTCGGTGAGGGCCGAGGGGCACTGGACGCGCTCGAAGGTGAGCGCGGGGTTGTCGGCGTTCTCGAACCAGTTGAACCGCCACTTGCAGCCGTCCTGGAGGAAGGTCGGGAAGGAGTCGCACTGGGAGACGGAGGAGATGCCGCCGTACTGGGCGCCCGCAAGACCGCCGAACTGCGGGGTGCACCCGTCGAAGATGCCGACACCGCCGCCGGGCATGAGGAGATCGAAGTGGTTGCTGCCGAGGTCACCGCCGGTGTTCGTGGACTGGACGATCATGGTCTTCCCGGAGACGGCGGTGGAGGTGAAGGTGATCTGGTAGCAGGCGCAGCACCATGAGGACTCGGTGCCACCGCTGAGAGCTGTGGCGGCGAAACCGTAGGAGAGGCTGTCGCTGACCTGCCAGGGAGAGAAGTTGCCGCAGGTGTATGCAGTGCCGCCATCACATCCGCTCTTGGCGTCGGGGCTGCTGAGGGGGTTGTTGTTGGCGTCGCATGTGTTGACTGGGGCGCTCACGTCGGCCTTACCGGTCCATGCGCAAGAGGGCTTGCAGCAGTCCCAGTATCTTTGTGAAGAAGAAGAGTCAGTCTTGAAGATTTCTGCCAGTGGCATGACAGATACACTTACCTGGTGGACACGCCAGCGGCGCCAGCGCCAAAGGCAGGGGCGGCAAAAGCAGCCGCAGTAAGGGCAATCTTGGACAGAGAAGGCATGATGGGCCAAGGGTAGAGAAGATTCCAGAGTTCTCAAAGATGTCGTTAGCAGAAGAAGAGCAGGTTGGTTGGGCAGCTTCTAGATCCAAGATCCTCGTGGCCAGCTGCCTATACTTAAGTATATTACACCCACCGCCCTACGATCTACGCAGCGGGGAAAAGAATCACTGTGGATATTCCTGAGAGGGGCCATCCATGTTGGTGATGTGGTCTGCCAGTAATCTCGATTATAAAATGAAAGTTTCAGTTGAACTAGCTCCTATCAGACCATGTAGGACAGCCGCCGCCATCAGACCGCCGAATAATAAGCAAAGCCGTGGCAGACCTGACCCAACCTGCAGCAATTTCCCCACGTGGGTAATGTGGGTTGATATTAGACATGTCAGGCCAGACGAAGTTTGACGGAAACATCGACCGAATAGCCGCCCAGGCTCGATCGGCTCGATGTGAGGGATCCTACATGACTAATGTCATGATTGGAGTTTCAGGTTCTGGTTGTGCCCATTTATATGCCCCTGGCATCTGATATTTGCTCACAATACCCCACCAATCAGTAGCCCCTGAAATCAGACTCTTGGCTCAGCGAAACCCAGATTCTGGGAATGGTCAACTGGGATCGTGCTGCCATTGTGATCAGAGGTATGGCGTTCTGTGGCAAGTTTCAGGGCCCCGCGGAATCACAGTATAAGTTGTCTGATTGCTCTACTAACCACGTGCTGCGGCCAAAGACTTGTTTCAACTCGCCGCTTCCAGGGTTCAACAACAGGATTTTTTGTTGGTATGGAGCATAGTAAGACGGAAGTACAAATATGCAGACCGTCTTATCTGGGCGTAGCTTTCAATCCTCTTCGATTAGTCGACATTGCACAAGGAGTCAGGATGAGAAAACGACGCATGTCAGATGGAAGCCCTCGGCCCCACTGCCTCCCAGGGCCAAACAGCCCGTGCTTTTAGCCGCCGCTGGTCAGTGGCCACTAAATTCCTTCCAAGTCGTTGTCATTTCAGTCGCCTAACGGGTGGTGAACCGAGGCAGGGGAAAGCCCCTGTTGACGGGCGACTACTGGCGGTCTGAGTGACTACTGGCGGTCTGAAATGAAGCGTTCTTGGCCATAATAATCCAGAAGCCGTTCGGAGTCTACTCTCCTGCGGTATGCGGTCGTTTCCCTTTTCATTCAATATTGGCGTCTCCAAAAGGAAATGTGATCATCGCCAACTGTGAGCATCTGCAGCTGTTTAATGAGCCAATCTGGAAGCACCACCGGAACGTAATGAGAGAAAGACGGTGAATTTCTCGGCACCGGCCGCCCGAGAGGTTGGGTATGATGCTCATTAGCTTCTAGAATTGTCAAGGATCAATATGTCTCGATTTCTTTGTGAGGCGGTGACTTCCGGTGCAGATCCCTTTACCCTAGAGATAGTGGTCTCAGTACATGTAAACGAAACGATACTGAAGCACAGCTATCAAATACAATCCACGCAATGTAACGGGAAATAAAATGGCAAGATTTAGAAGTGGCCTGTTTGTAATCCGAACAAAGTGAATAACAATTCCGGTTGGAAGTATTTTTGAATATAAACTTTCATTTGCACCACCTTAGTGTTGCTGGGAGCACATCTGATCAAGCACTGAGAGTGAATTTAAGCAGATAATTTCTTACTCCTGGGCTACCGGGGCATAGTGACTGCCCAGACGTTCCCTCTTATCCGGCTATTGATCGCCGTTACATGCCGTCGAGGCCCTGAGGGTACGCTATTTCCAGCTTGTGTTTCGCTAGGGTCTGAGGTGTGGGATGTGGGATTGCGCAGCTTTGAAACACAACACGCGACACCTTCAAGGTGGTGTGGTCTTGCCATTCTTTCCAACAACCCTCTCCTCATGACATACGACGACCGACACAAAATCGGTTCGTGAGGTTGAGGTTGCGCGGCATTGTACAACAGTTTCACTCGGCGAGCCACACGGGTCGTTCTGGGTGAGACCGAGTCCAAGAGGTCATCATTAGAATTTCAGGGCCAGCTAGCTGTTGATGGTTTGCATTAGCCACCCTCTCTCTATCGCATTGTGGGTGACAAGGGCACGGGGCCACGGGCTACTGAGACGTACTTATGCGCACCTATACAGAAGCTGGCATTCTAAGCACCTTCATTTCAGATCGGAACTCGGCAAACAACAGCAGGGGTGACTGCCTTGCATAACCGACCGAATTTATCTTCTCATTTGGGTAGCATGCAAGTTCCGTTGTCTCTTTGTGCCTCTCAACCCTCGGACACAAGAATGTGATTTATGATTCATGTCGTTCTGTATCGCGGTTGACAGACCGTCGGAAGTTTTGGAAGCCGGTGGTAGATCTTCTACAAGACTTGGCTACGAGCTGATGCGAATATATATGATAGATGCGACAGGAAGGTCGTTGGGAATACTTAGGTTATCGCTACTGGAGGGCCGCTATTTTGTCGAGTGAATTAAGGGAGTCTACGAGAATAAGTCATCATTAACTGTAACGGACAAAGAATGTCCGAGATAAGATCGTTCTCACACCTTCATGGTCGCTTGAGTCACTCTACCGGCAGTGGAGGCCCGGAATCGGATGAGAAAGCGGGGGATTCTCCGAGACCAGACAATAGCGATCAATTTGCTCGTTCGATTAATTCAGCCTCTTGTTTCCATTCACTTCACATTGATCTGTCTAGAATTTTGGAAGTTCTCGTTTCGGCGACACCACAAAAGCCACCATGCCAATCTACCACATAGGTTTGTAATGCCTCATCTCGTATCCCGGCCAGTCCATTTTATGTATGTGAGGCCAAGTCTAACGTAATCAAACCAACAGTGCTCTTCAAACTTAAGCCTGGGGTTACAGACGCCCAGATTGCCGAGATGCGTGCCGCCGGCGAAGCCATGGTTGGGGTAGTCCCAGGCCTCAAGAGCTTCGAGATGGGACCTCCATTAGCCAGCACCGCCCACCGATCGCAGGGCTTTGATATGGGCCTTTTCACCATCCTGGAGACAGAGGAGCAGGTCCTTGCCTATGCAGGCCACCCAGCTCACCAAAAGTAAGTTCGAAACTCCCCCTCATGTGTCGAATGTTGAGACCACTGATCAGAATCGGAAACGTGCAGGGTTCATAAGATTCGGGAGGCTATTTGCGATGATACCTTGGCATACGACATGGTTCTGTAATGTTTTCCGTATAGGCTAGAATAGAAGCTATGAAATAAATGACCAACGTACGAGGGTAGATCAACGAGCCCGTGATGCTGCTTGTTCCCCTAATTCAAAGTCTCATAATGGAGAACCCTGGGCGAAGCATTAACGATGCTACGCTGGATTGGTTTCTCCAGGTTCCCCCGCGCTACCCCTCTCTCGTCATCATCATCAGACCATCGGAGAAGTGGCGTCAAAATTGTTCAAGGAGATACGACCATCGGAGTTGGTGGCGGGGTTTGGTAGATTGATTGTTTACCCCGGATTTCAACTCACCCCGCCGCAATAAACCCCAGGAACGTGGAACACGGAGGCCGGTCATCGGTGCTGGCATGAAATCATTGTAGAAATAAATATCCTGAATACAGGTTTTCTCTTTGAAGTAGAACTGAGCCTCTTCCTTCATCAATCTTATCTGATTATCACAGTGCTCATAGATACCCCCCTATATTCATCTCTAAACATTAGAACATCCCAAAAAATGGCTGCCCAAGGAAGACTAGCAGGCAAGGTCGCCATCGTTACCGGTATGTAATTGGAACTATCCTAGCTGTGGTCATTCTGTCAAGTGTTTGCCAATCTAACAATCACCAGGCGGAGGCTCCGGCTTTGGCCTCACCATTAGCGAAGTGTATGCTCGCGAGGGCGCCAAACTGATCATCGGTGATCTGAACACAGCCGGTGCCGCCCATATTGTCGAGGAATACCCAGGCAACATCGTCCTTCAGCAAATGAACGTCACCAAGCGAGCCGACTGGGACGCCGCTGTCGCTGCCGCCCACGAGAAATTCGGCACCCTCGACATCGTTGTCAACAATGCCGGCACAAGTTACAAGAACAAGCCCACTCTTGAGGTGACCGAGGCGGAATATGCTCGATGCTTCGATGTCAATGTCCTCGGCATCTTCCACAGCGTGGCTGCTGCCTTCCCTGGCTTTGTAGAGCGTAAGGGCGGTATCATGGTCAACATCAGCAGCTGTGGCGCCTCCAGACCCAGACAGGGCTTGGTTTGGTATAATGCAAGCAAGGGCGCTGTATCCAATGTATGGCTTCTAGACACTGATCCTCGTCAATCTTCTCTGCTAACGCTAAATATCTATAGGCTACTCAGGGTTTGGCTTTGGAATTCGGACCTCACCAAATTCGCGTGAACAGCATCTGCCCTCTCCTTTGCGGAACTGGCCTGTAAGTGAATTCCGCTGCTCAGCTATCTCTAGTGCCCAAGCACTAACTGCTCTGTGAATAGATTCGAAAGCTTCGCTGGCGTCCCCGATACTCCCGAGAACCGACAGAAGTTTTTGGGCAATGTGCCCCTCGGCCGCCTTACCGAGACTATCGACGTGGCAAACGCCGCCCTATACCTTGCCAGCGATGAGGCTGCTTTCTTGACTGGTGTGAACCTGAATGTCGACGGTGGAAGGACGATCTAGATACAGCATGAATCATAGTTAGATAAAGCGGCTATCAGTCAATCAAAATATTGCTTGTCATGAGATATGCCCGTCAAAGTGATTGAGGTGCATTTGCCGGGAATCTATTCTGGTGCTGATTTGTTGTTCGCATCGTCGATCTAAAACAACAGTCCGCATTTCATACTCGAGCAGGATGCTGAGTGATATATGCTGAATGAAAAAAAAGTTCTACTTGATAAAAAGGACCGTAAATCAGATGATGATCGCCTCGACCACCAACAACACAGTCTGTCCCATCAATTCTATTAAGAAACATATCTACTGCCGGTAGAATGCTGTATGAGGATACACTGGAATAAATTTGCCATTTTCATGTTGGCACC